TAAGAAAGTGTGTTTAAATATATTAACAAATATTTTTGTACTTGATGTTAAAAATAACCTTTATGATGACTATAACAAATTTTAGTTTAAAGATAACTTTTTTTTATTATAAAAGATATTTATATATTTTAAATAGTTAATTATAATTATAATCGCTACAAGCATAATATAATTTTTTAAAAACATAATATTTTTGATATATAAAATGTTATGTTATTATTTTTTAAAAACATAACATTTTAAAACTTATCTCAAGAGATTTTTAATTTCTTTAAATTATCATATGATGTAGCATTAGATACCAAATTATATTGAATATATTTAGTTTAGTTTGGTTAGTCATTTTTTATCCATTGGTATTTTTTTTATTAATTGACTTTATTCATATTAACTAGGATTTAAATACTTAGGTAGAAAAAAAATCTTTGATTTAACATTCTTGTTAATTCAAGTCTTGAAAGTGATTTTTAAAAGAAAAAAAACTTGTTGTAAAGTTTTGCTTGACTAAGATGATTCAACCATTTTAATAAAGTTTAAGATTTTCTCCATTTTTATACTTGTACTCTTAGATTCTTTCTTTGTAATATGAAAGATAGCTTGACTAGGTTTGGTATAGACTTCTAATCTTTCATATGAAAAGAATAAATTAATTAGTAATATGTAAGAAGATCTTATAATTTTCACAAGTTTCATCAAGGAATATTTCTTTTAACTATCTCTACTATGAAAAGAGATAAGATTAGTCACCAAATAATAAGATTTTGTTGAAAGAATAATTTTTTATTTCTTGTGTAATCTAATAGAGTTAATTATATAGTTCTAAGGCCAGATCAAAGAGCCTCCTTAATACAACAAGTATATGAAGACCTTTGAAATTTTTGGATATGCAAGACATATTCTATATTGTATAATTAATATCAATAAAGTGATATATATCAAGAAATAACCACATATATTTCTAGTTGTGAAGTATGTGATTAAATTAGATTAAGATTTAACATCTTATCACCTCAATTAAAGCCATTACATATCAAGAATTTGTATTATCATTAATCTTTAGACTTTATTGGGCCATATTTTGTTACTTCATATAGAGTTTTATATATAATGGTGATAGTATAGTATTTTAGTAAATAAATTGAATTTGTGGCTTTAGGATAAAATTCTTCAAAATTGGTAGCTATGGCTTTTTTTTTTATCAAGTATTGACAATGTGTCATATGATAACATGACTATATAGTGAAAAATAGAAATCTAAATGTTATTATAGAAGGACTTAGTAGAAAGATGTAGTAGAAAAATAAGAATAAATAATAGACAGATAATAAAAGATTTAGTCTTAATACTGCATTTTGTAGAAATGACTTCTATTTACTTTGTAGAGAAATAAAATTAGAAATTGATATAAACATATTTAGAAGAAAATTAACAATAGATTAAAGCAAAATTTACCTCAAATTATCAAAAATTGATATTCAAAGAAGATTAGTTGTTCACTTGGATTGAAATCAGTCTCCAAGGTACAAAATTACATCCATATGGTTACTTTGAGGCTTTTTTGTAGATTAAAGAGTAGGATTTGAGGGAAAACTTGAAGAAATATTTTTAAGCATTCATTTCATGTCATTTAGATCAATATTGAGATTTTGAGGGATTTTCAAAATTAGTGATATTTTTGGTAGAGTTAGGATTTGAGAAATAAAAATACGTTTACAAATTTGAGTGTTTCTTTAGTTCTATGGTGTACGTATAGGTGAAGTTTGAATAATGTATTGGTATGCTAGTTGTTAATGTGTATGCAAATTTTGAGGTCAATCAAATGGTTAGATTGAAGTATATGAGTGTTTTTGTGGATTGAAGTCTCAAAAATTGGAATTTGAGTGTTAGAAAGTATTTCTAAGAACTTCAGCAATTTTTCAATCGAATTGAAGTAATTTTTTATTTTTTTTATTTTTTTTATGGATATTTATTTTATTTTGTAATATTTGGATGAAATTTGGAAGTAATTCAATAGTTTAAGAAGGAGATATTGGCATTGAAAGTTTAGCATTCAAGTTGAAGTAAGAAGTTGCTCAATACTCAATTGGATATCTTGCATTTCTTTCAATTGATATATGCAATCAGTTTCATCTTTCTTATGCTTATTTTTAATTAAGATATTAAAAAATGTAGAAATTTTGAGTTGATATCAATGATTTGTTCATTAATTGTTGAAGTTCTATTTTGCTGTAGGATTTGTTAAGAGTTTGTTTAAGATCTAAGTTTTGGTTTAGAACTTTACTAGGATTTGATTAAGATTTGATTAAGATTTGACATAGGATTTGATTAAGATTCAATTAGGATTTAAATTAGGATTACATTAAGATTTTTATTTTTAGTATTTTTTTAAAGATTATTATTCTTTCTTTAATGATTTAATTTTATACTTCTTTAAGATTTCTTCTTATTTTTCTTTGAAATTAAATCATGACTTCTTTTTATTTCTTTTGTAACTTCTTTTAAATCTATTTCAATAGGTTAAAGTTTGATTGGGGTTATTAACAATTACTTGAAGTTTATTTAAGACTCTATTAGACTTGGTAGAATTATTTTTGCATTTTTACTTACCTTCTACAACTAAGTGTTTGGTGCATTCTTAAGTAAGAACACATGGAATATGACAATGTTTTGGAGCACCTACTAAAGTCTTATTAGATCAAAGAATTGAGTTTCTTAAGATATTTGAAGCTTTATGTACTATAGCTTTGATAGATCATTGTATTATGTCTAAAAATCATCTTGAGGTAGATGACTTAGCTAAGTGGATTGTTTGGACTATCAAACATGGTTTAAAAAAATATAGATTATTTCATGGAAATAATTGTAATTAAAATATGATATTACCATAGATTGGGATGGATTATTATTTTAGTAGATAAGAATCTTTGGCATCTTGTAATTCTTACTAGTTATCATATGGATGAGAGCCAATTCTACCTAATTCAATCCATGAGAAGTTAGGTTTAGTTGTAGACTTAAATGATCCTAATATTTGGGCTCAATATCTACATAATGAAGCAAAGTTTTTTAAACAAGCCATGAGTATGGCTATGGAGAACTTATTTCTTGCTCAATATTGCAATACTTTACAATATATTTGTATTCATAGTAGAGCTTATTAATCTCAATTGCAAAGATTTTTCAAAGGAGATTATATGTATTTGCAATACGAGGTGCCTATAACTCTTGATGTTATGACAAGGCACACAATTCTATACGTAAAAGATGTGTTGTTTAGTAGTATTTTGTTGTTGGAAGGCAAGAATGGATAAGGTTGTTGAGAGCATTCAAAGAATTGTGTTCTTTGTCATCTTCTTATTGATGATTTTATACATCCTAAATTGGCAGTTGTGTCAATTAATCTTTCTTGTTTTATATGTGGTAAGAAGAAAAAAGCTTCTATCATGTTTTTGTGTGATTAATACCAAAGTAGATGGCATATGGCATCTTTTACACCACTTCTTTTGACTCTCCTTTCAAGAGATTGGATTAGTCGTCATTGTAAGAAGTCTTTTAGTCATGCCTCATCTATTGATAAGGATTGAAGATTTCTTCTATTGTGTTGTTACATACTTCAATGGCCTAGCTATTGTAATATTAGTTTGGAGGAGTAAAGTTCTGCAACAACATCATTGTAGCATTCATCGTCAATAATGTGTGTTTTGTCATCCTAGCTGATTGGAAGGACTCTTGATCAACTAAGGGGGACACTTGATAATATGATGGGTGTGTATTTGTATTTGGTTCAGTTTACATACTTTGTCATTATAACACAATACTCAATGTGTTGTGTGTAACAATCTTTGTTTACACAATAAAATGTAGAAAGAAATCAAATCCTTTCTTCAATGATATGACACTTATTTGAAAGAAAAGACTCAAAATTAGTAATTTTATAGACTTCTCCAACCTCTACTTATTCCAAAGTAACCTTGATAAGTTATTTTAATAGATTTAATTAAAGATCTTTCAATTTCAAATTCTTATAACTCTAATTTTGTAATGGTAGATTTTCTAATCAAATGACAAATTTTGTACTTTAATACAAAAACTATTAAAAGAAAAAAAAAGAATTATTTTTTATTTTTTATTTTTTCAATATCTATTGGTATTTTAGACTTCTTAGTGATATTATATTTTATCAAAGATTCCAATTTGCATTAAGATTTTGGAAGATACTCTTCAACATGTTATTAAAAAAAAAAAGAAAAAAAGAAGAAGAAGAAGTGGATAACCAAACTAATTGTATTTTGATTACCAATATAATAAAAAAATTGATACTCCTTGTGTAACTCAATATATGAAAAATATCCAAAAATTTTATAAATTTTTCTAAAGAAGAATAAATGTACCAAACCAGATCAAAACTACATTACCATATTATAACCAGCTCTATGTTTGAACAAACACAAGAAGAGATTACTAGCATTATAAAACAAAAAGCACAACATCGAAAAAATAAAAAATCCAAAAAATAATGCTAGCTAGTGCAATCACATTGTGCTTACAACCCTCATCAACAATAAAGAGACTAAATTTCGTCACATTAATAATCTGATTTGATTTTGTCTTTTCCCTCTTTTCCATCAAAAACATAAGAAAATACGTGCTAAGACAGCTGCCGAGAAACTTGTGGTTCTCTAAAAATAGGAAAGACAGAAATCCTTTCCATCAAAAATAAAAATAAAAATAAAAAACGTGCTAAGACAAGCCAAAGTGGAAAATACCTACTCCTCTTTTGTAATAATTATATGTGTTAATTAATTTGTGTTCGCTTTTTCCCTCAAATACCTACTACTCTCTACGTCCAGTGTCAGAATCGGCCCTCAATTGGCCAATACCCGAATTTGGGCATCGATATCGCCTGCGCCTATTTCGCCAATCGCTTCCACGCCGCATTTCGTGATCCTTCCATCTGATGAAACGTTGAGGCGCGAGCGAATCATCGATCACAGTCCGCACAACGATGCGTTCGGTGCGTGGCGGGATTGGCAAATGACCCAGTTATGGAGGATGTGTTGCGGGGGGGAGGGAATTCTGTGTTGCGGGAAAAAAGAATGAACCTAGTGATCTACCACTGGCGCCTCCCCACCGCAACCATCGGGGAGACGAATGCGGAAAGTTCTCCAGAGAAACTGATTAATTCGCTCTGTGAATGTTGAGAGCACGAACTCTGGCAGCAACTTTCTGGGTTGGGTTTGCTCGTGGTAGGTGTTGCTACTCCTTCGTCGTTGGACTTAGGCGCACGGCAATGGTTGTGAGAGCTGCCGCGACAGGTCTAGTTGGGTGCACAGAGATTGTCGTGCTTGTGCTGGTTTCAGCTCATTGCAGTTCATGGATACACAGTAAATTGCGCAGGGAAAGGTTAAGAGTTGCAGTCGACAACTGCATGCTCCTTCGATTTCAGCGACACCTGGTACCGCAAATGCGGCTCACCTAGGAGCTCATTAGCCGTTGTCTTTTTTATTTTCAGCGAAACGGATTCAAACTTTGCAGCCAGTTGCGTGATTTGAGACTGTCTCTTCCCTTCGCTCTAGTTTTGATTCGTCCACTGATAGCAACTTGTTTCCAAAGGGTAGGTAGCATTGCAACTGAGGGGTAGGTTGAGGTTGAGTTCCGAATGCGTTTATGAAGTTGGGGATTTGGACACGAGCGTCGCGGCGTTTCCTGTTGTGAGATTATTCGCTGACACTGCTCCGAGGAGCAGTTACTCAATGCATGACGCGGATCATGGATGTATAGCTTGCCAATCGAGGGTATTAGGGGTATTTCTCTGTATTCGCATTTTCTTCGAAATGCTACGGCGTTCGTAATCGCCATTTTGATACCGGTATTCCTCATTACATAACGCTTGAGAGTTCTCATCGAATTTTCGATTATTTCGATTTTTTCGAGCACTCTGCACAAAGATGTGCTGTGCTCACACATTTTGAGCCGTGACAGCGAGAATGGCCCAGTCCGCATGGTGGCTGTGGAAAACTACACACTTGCGTGTGAAGATTGTTTTAGCCGTCTTGGCTACAGTTGTTTTAGTTTCCGCAGGGACAGTGCCGTTGTTGTCGGAGAACAAATACGTCTTCAATTCTTTGAACTATAGTGTCATTAGAAATCCCGGGTCTCCTCGCGTGATTGCGATTTTTGTGAACGATACCGCCGAACGTTCTTTGGATCTCCCCTCAGATCTCTTTGACCTTCCTAAGCTAGATCATAAGTCTAGCTCGGGATCCAATACTTTTGAGAATACATCCCTAGATGGAGCTTCTTCAGGCGGTTCGAATTTCGACACCAATGACTTATCGCCTAGCCCATCCCCAGAGCCCTCATCTTCTGCTGTGATTTATGAAGACGACACGTTCCTGGCGCCGCTACTGTCTGCAGGGGTCGGAGCAGGAAATCAGCTCATGGAATACATAACGGCGGCGGGGATTTCGAGAGCTCTCAACCGGACCCTGTGCCTTCCCCCCTTTTTCTTTGGACCGTCAAAGCACAAGGGTAACTATCTCTTTCAATTTCTGCACTGCATTCCAGCAATTTGTTTCATAATCAAATGGGCGAGTGTGAGCAGTATGAGTCCTAACTTGATCGGATGATAACAGGAATCTCCGCAAGGGTCAATGGAGGAATGATGTGGGAAGACAGGTACAATGTATCCTCTCTTTCGCGGTTCACGAGGGTGGCATCCTTTGAGCATTGCTTAGAACAATGCCATCACACGCTCGATACAAATGTGTACCTGAGGCCGTCCTTGGAACCCATAGTGCGGGGTTGGGACAACTATGAATATGCAAATGTGAGCGTCTCTTTTGGTCTGCTTTTGTGAATTTGCTTCACTGTCACTACGCTCTGTCCGTTACAAGCTTTTGACGCGCTTGAGTTGGTACCCAGGAGTCTTGGAACATGAATTGGGAGTTCCTCAAATGGCAATCGCTGAAGGATATCAGTGACACCTTCGACGTCGATGATCTCCGTTGTGTTGGCGTCTCTGCTTTGTTTCCTGGATTGCGATGGAGAGGAGCGGTCTTAGCCGTCTCAGCGTTCTTGCAGCCCTCATTGTCCATCTCTGAAGCCGCAGACATTCTTCAAACTCATGCAATTGGGAAGAACACCCCCTACATGGCAGGTGCGCATATCGTCTCATCGTCAACCTCAGTCTGCCGCAAAGCATGAAAATTTCGTGGCAGCGGATAATCTCTATGCACTTGTTAAGAATGTGTTACCGTTGCTGCAGTACATTGGAGGTTTGAGGAATCGAGCTGCGCAAAGCACAGCATTGGTCTGTGTTTTTTGCGCTGCACTGACGGATCCGTGATCGCCACTGGTCTTCGTCCTCACTCGAAAGCGAGTCTGAAAATGCCCATGACGAAGTGCAGGAAGGGCACCCAGTTCAGAGCAATCGGTCTCAGTAAAATGGATATTGTTAGTGCAATTGAAGATCGCGCTGCAAATCATAGCCTGAGTACAATCTACATGGCAACCGATGGCTGGATTCGTGGAACCAAAGGCCTTGCGCTAGTCAAAGAAGTGAGAAATGAATTCCTCCAGTATCATTGCCTTATCACCATTATGTTCTGACTTCAAGGCTATGGATCATTGTGAACGTGTCGCAACTTCATGGCTCTCCGAGTTACAAGCTTGACATGGTAGCTCTTCACGCAGGTGGTTCTGTTATTGCGGAATCGGGGTCTATCTGTTATTGGACTGTGGAATATTACAGGGTTGCCAAACTTCGCGGATGGAACTTATTACGATCCGTATCTCACCATGGGTGGGAGACATGTGGTATGTGCACCCTTGTCAGAGGTCTTACAAGCTTGCAGTGAATGTTGATGTCTAGAATCATGCAATAGACAGGAGAAGCTTCAGTGGCACGAAATGATGTGATAAAGTCGAGCAGTGGTAGTGAATACTTATACACTCTTCAACAGTCCACTTGTAATTGTAAACGCTCTTGATTTTGCCGCAGATGAATAGCCAACAAATAGCAGTCGTCGAACAAGAAATCTGCGTGCGCTCCACCGTCTTTCTCGGCAGCGGACTGTCTACATGGAGCCTTGCCGTGTTTCGCAATCGACTTGCGAAACGACGATCTGAGGAAATCCTGACAAAGGTCCCGAACGCATACAAAGTGGATCTGAAAGCACGGGATGAGATCGTCATCGAAGCACTTCTGAAGGACGACCATGCCGCCGGTTTGCAGTGCCAATACACCCGGTTCATGAGAGTGAACGAGACTGCCGAAACAGCGAACCCGACTGCCGAAACTTCTGCAGACGAGTTTCCTGATGGATGGCTGGATGTTGAGGCGTGCGAAGGCCGCGTAGGTCGCGGCGGACACTGCGAAGTCGGTGATTGTATTTAGGACATACTCTCAACTTCTCTGCACAATGTGTATGACATCTTTCCTTTAACACCGTAGCAACACATCCCTCCAACTATCACCCATCTAAGAGAAACTCTGCACCCAGAGAATCCATCGTTACCACCATAGACATCAGTTACAACATCGCGGTGTTCGAAGATGAAGTCTGAAGACACCACGAATTGTAATCTCTCCCGTGCTTGTAAACAAGACCATCGACACTAGAAGTCTCTTCGCGCATTTGTGATGAGCTCAAGTAACTAGATTCCGCCATCGATAATATGGTGCGACATCTGTGCACAGCATCTTTGGATGCTTATATTCCCCTTCTACTGTCTGAACAGTGAGCTCAGTTAACATCAGGATCATTCAAGTTACGTAGAAACTCTGGATTAGAATTTGAAAAATACTGTTTTGGGAATTGTGACGGTGAAGATGTTGCCTATTCACAGCCGCTCAAAGTGTTTGCTTAGAACAAGATTGCACCCTGGCATTGGGCTATGAGGGAGGCAGAGCTCAGGTAGACTTGGCTAACCTTGAACCTAGAGTGGTTGGGAATTGGTTTCCCAAGTTTGTGTTGTGAGTCAATGCATTTTTGTGTAAACAAGTTAAACACTTGTCTACTTGAAACATGCAATGTGTTGTTATCAAATTCTTCTCTTCTTGAAAATAAATAACATTTAGAAAAGTATCAACAATAAATTAAGGTTGTGCAACTTGTATTTTATCTTTTGAGTTTATTACACATTTAGAAAAGTATTAACAATGAAATATATATCTTAAATTACAAGGCAAGTTTTCTATATGCATGCTACATTGTTAGCTTATACTACAAACTATCCACATATACAATACTTGGTAATTTATTGGCCAAGTTTTTAATCTACCAATTAAACATAGACATGTATAAAATCAAATACATGTTTGTAAATCTTCTAAGAAAGCTTTGCCATGAGATAATTTTAAATCTGTCTACATTTATCTTCTATCTAATATTTCTTATTTAGGTATATATATATTTGTGACATTATCTTCTCTTTTAGGAATAAGTTCCATAAAGAACAATTATTATATATTAGGAAGTCCAAGATGCAACAAACTATGTTTGTCACATATTTTGATTTTTTTTCCTTCTAAGGTGATTGATAGATCTTTTTAGCTATCGATGATGTTTTATATTAGGATGGAAAGACCACCCTGTTATTTGATTATTATTGAAGCTTTTATAACTCCCTTCAAATAAAACATTTAGAATATTGTTAAGAGTTATTTCTAGATCTAATAAAATCACCAAATATCAAGAGACTCTTCCGAACTTGTGATAAAAAATATATTGTATCTTGCCATCTATTTGAGGAAAAACATATTGATCTTAAAGATCTTTATCTCCTTAGCACCGCAATTATAAAGAAACTACAAATAAAAATAGAAGGTAGAGTGTTATCTTCTTTAAATCTTGTTTCTTTTATTATAATTTTTTTTTATTTTTTATCTTAGTTTTGATAGATATTATTGATGAAAAGCATCAACTTTGTATGTTGCATTTGTAAGATTTTTTGTTGGCTCTCATATACATTCACTAATATCATATTTATGCCAATGAATAAGATATTCTAACCTATTTTAGCACCATCTTGAGTTTAAGACTTTGTCTACCTCAAATTCTTAATTATTATCTACTTCTACAAGAATAGGTGACATTTGTCTTCTTTCTCAAATATTCATTATCTTATATGGTTCAAAAAGAGATACATAGAACACAAGATGGATCTTCATAGACTCTAGTAGATATAATCAATAAGCAATTTAATTGATTTGTTCACAAATAAAAAATGATTCAAGCTAATAGTGATCAAACTTGTTACAAAAACAACTTGTTTTGATATTGCAATGTAGTAACCACATTTTATTGCTAATGTTGCATTAATATTATTATTTATAATAGGAATTTGCTTTGGTCTTTTGTTGTTCTTGAACTTCTATTAATTGTGCCTTTATAATTATATGTAGTCAAAATAAACGATTTATAAAATCTTCAATCACAAAATTATTAATTTTTATAAAGTCAAAAAAATCAAGTTTTAGATAATAACCATAATTAGTAAAATAAATTATTTTTTATATAGAAGAATGTATCATGTTATTATAATTTTTTTTTTCAAGAATAAAAAAATTGTCTAATAAACTTATTGATAGTTGATGGTACACCTTAAATATTATTTCAAAACTTGGTTTACTTGCTTTATTTTTCTATTGATTAGAAGATAAAAAGTCAAAGATAATTTTATGTCTACCTTTAAAATCTTAAAAATAAATCTCTAAAAATTTTATACAAATTGAATTCTTCCTATATAAGATAATATCTTTAAATAATCAATGATAGCAATAGATATTATTAAAAAAAAACTTAGTTATTTTTTTATATGTAATAGATTTTGTAGATAATATAAAATTTTTTATTTTGATAAAATGATCTATTATTATAAATAAAAAATCATAAGAACTTGAGACTAAAATATTTACAATAAGAACTATAGATATAGTAGACGATGATTATTTCAAAATAAGTAATGGCTAAAAAAATCTATAAGATTAATAATGAGGATTTTTTGATCTAAAACAAATGTCACATGATTCTAAAAAGTTTTTAATTTCTTTTTATATTTGAGGTTACTAAAAATATTTAAATATTAGCTTCAAAGTCTTCTTGTATCCAAAATATCAGATTGTTTAAAAGTCATGACAAACTTAAAGAATACATAATTATGCTTCATCTTCTAGAATATATAATTATCTTTTAAAGTAAAATAGATTCTTTTTAAACTCAAATTTTAAACTATTATAAAACTCAGAAGAATTATTCTTAATATCATGAATGAAAAGACTAAAAAACATATTTGATTCAACTTACATGAAAAAAATTGAATCAATAGTCAATTTGATTTCATTGCTCAAAGATGAAAATACTTTGGTTATAGGAGAATTATTTTTTTGTTGATCAAAATCTGCATCTCTTTCTTTGGATGGAAGATAAGAACATCTAAAAAAATCATCTTACAAATCTTGTTGTTTTTTGAATTGATAAAAGCTCTTAAAATAAAATCTTAATAAAGATATGCTTTAATGAACTTTGCAATGATTCAAAAGACAAACTGACATGAAATATTTAAGGTACTTGTAATCCATATACATAGTAACTAGTTTAAAAGTGCTTTCTTGGTAATAACACCATTCTTGAAATGAATCCATAATTACAAGAAGCTCTTTATTGTAGATCTTGTAGCTGATATTATTTACTAAAATGTTTTTAGAATAAAAAGCTATTGAGTAGATCTTATCATCTGCTTCCATTTGTGACAATACTACACCGACAACAAAATCTGATATATTTTTTTCATAAAAAATACTTTAAAAAAGACAATAGTACAAAATTGATGCACAATAAATATTAACTTAAAGGCTTCAAAAGATATTTTTGCTACTTTTCTCCACTCAAGTTTGTCTTTATAAGTCAAACATATAAAAAGAGTTGTAATTTGAGAACTATTTTTGATAAAGATCTTCTAATAATGAGCAAATTTTAAAAAAATATTGAACATCTCTAACTGTTTTTGAGATCTTCTAATCTATAATAGTTTGGATCTTCTTAGGATCCATCATAAGGCCATTTTTTGAAATGATGTATTCTAAAAAGTCAACTTAAGTAGTGTAAAATATACACTTTTCTATCTCTGTATATAATTATGCATCTCTTTGTTTTTGTAACATACAAAAAAAAATATTTTTTTTATTTTTAGAATAAATTAAAATATTATTTAAATAATATATATCAAAATCATTAAAAAACTTTTAAAAAATATTATTTATTAAATATTAAAAAGTAATTGGTACATTTGTGAATCTAAAAGGTATGATATTACATTTGAAATGCCTATATCTAATTCAAAACGTAGTTTTTTATTCATCTCTTTTTTAATATGTATCAAGTTATATACTCTTTATGGATCTATTTTTGTATAAATCTTGACTTGATTTAACTGATTAAGAAGTCATAAAATTAAAAATAAAGGATATATATTTTTTATGGTAATCTTATAGAGTCTTTGATAGTCCATACACATCTACAAAGATCCATATTTTTTCTTTACAAATAAGATAGGAGTTCATGTTAAGAATTTAAAATAGTATATAAATTTTTTAGTAGATTTCTTGTTATATACTTTTTGAATACAATCAATTTATTGTGTCATAAGCTATACATTGGTCCAAATGGTGGTTGAGCTCCTTCTTAAAGATCAATAAAATAATTATAGAAATGATGCTTTGGAAGAATAACTACATTTTTCTTCTTAAAAAGGTCTTGATATTCTTAATATTGGCTTAAAATGCCACTTAAAATCTTTTTCCAATTGAAAATAGGTATAGCACATATTAGAATATATATATTTTTTAATTTTTAGCATGCATGAAAGTTTTTGCACTTGCTAATAAGAATTTGAATGTATCAAACTTTTAGATTTTTATTTGATTAAAAAAATTATAGATTCTTCTATGAAAAAATCAAGATTATAAGAAATTTAATCTATTTAAAGATTATATTTTTTTAGCAAAAATAGTCTTAAAATAATTGAATTAAAAGAAAAACTAATCATATTAAATATTATTAAGCTATTATGATCTTGTATTGTTATATCTAAATAAACTATTTTATGAATAATGTCTCCAAAGGATAACAAACAAACATCTATGACTTTTACATGCACAGGTTTATTTTTCTTAATAAAAGATATTTTTTATTTTTTAACAAAGACTTTGTCTATAGAATAAATTAAGGCTCATGAACCTTATAAGGCAAAGACTTTGTGATTTTTTGGTCCTAAATAAACTTCTATTATAAAATAAGGTGAAAGATCTAAAAATATATATATAAAATCTTTACTAGATATTATACAAGATTTCAGCCGCATGGTCCCTATTGTAGCTAGATAAATTTATTTCTTGATACCTTATCTTCTTTGGTAACTATACTACTCACTTTATAATTAAGTCACTTCTTTGAATAATATTGAGTAGTATATTTAGATTTACCACAATATAAGCACAATCCTTTTTGATGATATCAAGTCTTTTTTTTGCTTAATAAGAGATTTAAAATGTATTGTGTCAATTTGCATAAGTTGTAGCCTTAATGAATAAGCTTTTTTAAACTTATAATTTATTGCAATAACTTGACTTATACTTCTTTAATCAAACATATATCTTTGATATCTTTTAAAAAGTGTCAAAGACAAGAGCTTGATAAAACAAATAATTAAGTAAGATGTTAGCTCTCTATTATGTTCCAAAATTTAAATTTTTGTTATTTTTTTATTTTATAATAATTAAATATATTAAATTAAGATTTGTATAAGTAGAATTTAATTTTATAGGATTTTTAGAATTGTAACCTTTGATGGTGTAATTGTTGTTTTACTTATTCTTCAAATACTTTTCCAAAATAAATCTATAAATGAGAGTTTGAATACAGGGAAAGACTATCCGCATGAGTTTACACATTAAGATCAAATAATCAACTATCTTTTGATTCATTAAAACATCCAAGAAAGCTACAATATCTTCTACATTCTATTAATTCCTCTTTTAACAAATAAAATATTACAATCAATAATTCTATCTTATGCATTCACTGTCTCTTCTCCTCT